TATCACCTATGTTTAAAAAAAGGAATATGGTCTTTAGTTAGCTCTAAGGACTAAGAAGAAAAAAATGCGATACACTTCTATCTAATTTATAAAAGCTGCCTTGTCTTCTTTTACTCTTCTGTGACTATTATACAAAAAGATTAGACCAAATACAAAAAGAAGTATTGGCAACTGATGAAAGTACATTAAAAGTTTTGTTAATTCTTATAGCTACAGTTTTGTATATCTAGCTTAAAATACAAATATTTCTAAGCACATAATTAACATGTCTCCATGAAGGTATTTATTGTACCATAAGAATAAGCTATAGTTACCTTTTCTTCTAAGATTTATTATATTTTGTGCTTGTTCACATTAGCTTAGGTACACATTCTAGTGTGAAATTCAAGTCCTATGCATTTGTTCTAATACTCCTTTTAGTACGTCACTTGGTCTTTTTTATTTCAGGTATTAGGAGCATCTTGATTTGTGTAGTAATTATTTTACCTATGTGCAGAAGGTCTTGGATTATCTTATCTGAATGCTCTAACAACCCTTTGAAATAGGCACATCTACTCTTATCCTTAATTGACAGATTAGGAACTAAAACCAAATTAGGGTCTGATCCCACTAAGACTCCAACCTGGGTCTTCTGACGCATTTGCATCATTGTATGTGACAAATGAGCACTCTGGTTTCCCTTCTCATATATGTCCTAGGACTTTTCTGACAGGTTTGCCATAGTATAGTTGTAATCAACTAAGCAATGCAGAGTCAGGTAACCTACCAGCGCTCCCGTACAGGTGGTGTGAGATTTGTGTTATTCGTCTTTTATTTTTGTTGTGTGACTTCTCACAAGTCACCTAACCCATTTTTCTTCAGCTTCTGAAGAAGTGAGAGAGAGTCCATCCTTTTATTATTTCATGAAAGTATTAGGTTCCAGTTTGGGAAAGGCATTTTGGTGCTTAAAAATTAGGTGAATTTTTAAAATGAAGTGGTTTATTATTTATCAGGCTGGATCTATCCCTAGTTGTCAAAATAAATAAACTTTGATACCTGCCTTCAAGGAACTCATGTTCGAGCAGAGGAGATAGACATACAACTTCAATTAACTATCATGCACTCTAATCATTTTTCCCACTTGATTTACTAAATTCTGGCCAATAACACCTTTTATTTAGGATTTCATCTTCTCAGGAACCACCACAGTTCATTGAAGCATAATGTTTATTAATGCACCGCTGTAGAGAATTTCAGCTTCTTCTGTCCTGCATGTTTGTAACTGGCTGCACATTTGACCACAGCCTCTGTGGGAGAACTTAAACTAGGAAATCAGGACCACAGAAGTTTTTACCTTTGTTTCATTTAGGTGGTGGCCTCGGGGTTTACATCACCTCATGGGGTTTTTCTGCTTTTGTGCCTACTGAGAGTCAGAAGGGTGAGCCAGTACTTAGGGGCCTAAGAGAGACCAGAGTACAAAGCCTCAGAGAGGCAACACCAGGGTCTGCTCCCTAATTTAAATTATAGCCCCTACCAGTGCAGGGTGGATTCTCTCTGCCTTTGAGCAGTCTGGCTGACCATCTGAGAGTTCTTCCTATGGAATGCTAAGACCAGATCCTTCACTAGTGTGTTAGAGAGGTTTCTAGATTTCACCGAAGAGGGCAAAAAGAAGGACTGCTGCCAAAGTTCTCAAACGTGCTAATTATGCTTAGAAACAGAAGTGGCAGAACTGGACACTATGATTGCTGCTTCTTACCAACTTGGCTTCTCCAAGATGCTGTACCTTGGTATAAATATAATGCATTTTTAATGGATTTTTTTCCTTAAAAATGACCCTCCACGATGTTTATGTCAGCTTCTCCTTTGATCTTTAAAGTAAAACAGCTTTGCTGTGATGTTGGGAATCAGTTATGCCACATTTACCTGTGTGTGGTTTACAGAGTTGGGTCACTGCATAGGAAGAAAACACACATACAAAAACAAGAATTGAGATGAAAATTAATTTGAGAGTGGAAGTAGGACATCAACCTCTCACATAGCATAGAAGCTTTTGGCTATAAGCGATGGGCCTAAGTCAGTGATACTCTAACATTTTTTACCAAAAGAAACACGTGTTCATTAGGAAAACAATTAGAAAATTCAGAAGAATAGAAGAAAAAAATCACCCATGATCCCACTGCTCTAAGATAATCACTGTTTATTAACATTTTAGTACATCTTCTTCTGGTGTGTTTTCTTTACATAGTAGAGGTCCTCGTATGTGTAAAACTTTATACCTTGCTTTCTATCCTTAACATTTAACAGGAAATAAATAAGGCTTTTAAAATTTTATTTAGAGGTCTGAAGGTTATTTGCTTAACAGAAAATAGAATATCCTTAGTATTTCTTTGAAGAAATCTTCACCATAGTGACTTAATCTATGTGACCCCAACTTCTGTAACTTTAATTCTTAAGAATATCAGTGGGCAACAGGCCCTTGTCCTGAAACGAAAGCATTGCCACCTTGCAGCATAATGACTGCTTTCTCCCCCGAGGGAGTGGAGTCTCATGGTGGCAAGGCCATGTCACAGGTGGGCACACAAGAACAAGCCCCAGGGTGGCAGATTGCTGGCAGAGAGCCACAGTCCCGCCTCGTGGTGGGCCACACTGGGAGCCTCCTGATGGCTGTCTTCTAGTTGTTTCAAACCCTTGTCTTTTTAGAGAACCCACATGTGGAACTGTGGACTTGAACTTGTAGGCCACATGCAGATTTAAGGAAATGGAAAGTCAGATGCACTAAGTTCATGATAATTTCAGATGGAGGAAGCTAAAAAAATTTTTTTTTCTTTTCCACACCCTGGAGATCAGGGGTTGTTGCATGCTTTGAGGCTCTGAATTACAACAGTGATCACATTTAAAAATGGAAGCATTCAGTTCAACCAATATTTACTGAAAAAGATACCAACTAGATCCTACCAGAAAATAAAAATGAATAATAAATGATCTTTGCTTTTCTAGGTGCTTTTACTGTCATATAGGAAATAAGATGTATACACAAGTTGTAGCAGCAGAGGCAGAATGTAAGAAATATAAGTGCCACCTAGAAGCAGGGAGAGACAGGGGGAGACAGTAGCTCTGGCAGGACGCAGCAGGATGCATCGTGAAGGAAATGGAGATGAGGAAAAAATGGGTCGAATTTCTCTTGTGGAGACTCAGGCAAGGCAACGGAGAGAGCGTGCGCTACATGCACCACAGAGCTCAGGGCACGCTGGAGGTGATGAGCAGCCTCCTTTCAATTTTGTTATTTTTCTTAAAAAATCACTCTGGAGAAGATGCAAATAAATAGGCAGAAGAGAATAAAAATCATCCAGAGTTCTGTTAGCCAGAGAAAAGTTCTGTGACCATTGTGGTATCCTTTCTTCCATTCATCTTTCCACACACATGATTGAAATAGAACAGATTTGAGATGCCGGTCCACTGTGCTTGGCTCCTCAAGAGGTGTGGTGGGCGTTGTTTAACTACATCCAGCCCCTAGCCCAGTGCACTTTTTCATAGAGAAGCACTAACAAATGCCCACTGTTCCTTTGATAAGTTCTAGACAGCAAACCTTTTTGAGCCTATGGAAATGTGGCCACGTGTCTCTAGATAGATGCCTTACACTCTGAATTGAATGCAAGGCTGAACCTAAATGATGTGTGGCTCCTAGAAGATCATCACAAATCCATTTCCTGCTCTTGAGCCAATAAGTAGATGTGTGGATCTATGTCCATTTTCTATAATGTAAATACTTTTTGACTTAAAATGGTGCTTTGTCCCAAAATGAGTATTTTTCCTTTCTCAGACTTCATGTTTATTTTAAAATTCAAATGGTATATGATAAGAATAAGGTAAAAATTACCTGAATTAACACCATCCAGAAGTAACAAATTTGGCAGATGTTTTCCTGTATGTGAGATTTTTTTTTCCCTTCAAAATTATGGTCATCTTTCTGTATCAGTAAATATCAAACAGTACTTGACTTTTTGATATAAATTGCTAAAGTGCTCTCCAGCTTTCTGCTCTCCCACCAAGTTATGCCACAGGTGGGTATAAGCACTAATTATTTTGGTAAATTTTATTGAAGTGTAACAGAAAAGTATACAGATCAAGTTTACAACCTAGTGAACTTTTAAGAAGTAAACACTTAAAAATCCAACATCTAGATCAAGAAAGAGAACATTACCAGCACCCCAAGAGACCACCTGCCTGTCCCCTTCCAGTCACTGCTTCCCTGGGATAACCACTCTTCTGTTACTTATCTAATTTGCAATCTTTATTAATCGAATGGGCAAAAAGTATCTTGTTTTGGTGTTTTGTTTTTTTTTTTTGCTTCTGGTTATTTTTATGAGGTTACTGCTTGGACTATTTCTAAAATTCACGGTAGGGCCCAATTTTTGGAGGTTAAAGTCTTTCTCCATGAAAGAAATGAATGACATCTCTTTTAGGTGCAGAACATGAAGGGATTTGCCATAGTTGAAAATGTTAAAGCAAAGATTCTACAATATAACCTTTGTCATATATTATTTTCTCAGTAAATATTGGAGATCCTTTGGGACAGGCACTATGATTAAAAAAAAAATAAAGTATCTTCATTTCTTTGAAATGACAAATTTCAGTACCTTCTGCAACTGGAGAGTATAGTAAGGATATGTGGCTAGAACCTGACCTCTGCTGGAAGCTTCTGGTATAATGTGGAGGAAGGAGCCCTCGTCTTCCCTGGTGGCTGCTAGCCTTCATTCAGCTCAAACCTGCCTGCCTCTAGCTTTCCTTTGCAACTTCTCAGTTTTTTTTCTCACGCTATTTTTCTGCTGTGATAGCAAGTTTTGCTTAGCAAAACGTGACGTTTTCTGCGTGGCAAGGTCTTTGTAAACATCCTAGCAGTTGACTGTTGAAATACGGGAAAACAATTCGCCAGGTTGTATCTCGCATCTGCAGCATGAGATTCAGGCCTGGGGCGTAACTCCAGAGGAGGGGGAGTAACGGGCTGCTCTGCTTCTCCCCAGGAATCGACAAGGAGAACGTTGAACTCTCCCCCACCACCGGGCACTGTAACAGTGGACGAACTCGCCATGGATCCGCAAGCCAAGTGCAGAAGCAAAGAAGCGCTGGCAGTTTCAAACGTAATAGCATTAAGAAGATCGTGTGAAGCTTTCTTTCTTTCCTTTTTCAAACAGACTTAACTCACACGGGCTCGTCACTAGTGACCCCTTCACCACCGTGCTGTGATGCTGCACTTCATGTTTATAATGAGCCCACCCACGTCTGCCATGTTGCCAGATGATCAACTCTTGGAAGCATTGCCTAAATTTAATGCTGCTTTTTCTTTAACTTTTTTTTCCTTCTACTTTTGGTGTGTCTGGTGTAAGCAGGTGTTCAGAACAACTGCAAAGAAAGTGGGAGGTCAGGACGCTTGCACTGAGAACATCCCAGTTGTGAGAGAGGATGAATTCTCGAATACTGCTACCACTGACCAGCTATGAAAGCCATTTGCACAGAGCTCTCTGCCTTCTCTGTTTCCCCTTCTTCATCATACAAAGTAAAGTGTTAGTCTTATTTACACACTTTTCAAGATAGAAGTTTATGGGAGAAATAATACTATAACCCCAGTATGTTTAATCTGACTTTTAGCTGTGGACTTTTTTTTACCTTACAAAACTGAAGGAACCGTAGAGGTCAAGCCTCAGTGACTTCACACCATAAAGCCACAGGCAAGGTACTCTGGGGGGTGGAGGGATTTAGTATTTTGTAATGAGTTCTTAGGAAGTACTAATACTTGAGTATTAGCAATAATTACAGGAAAATAAGCATAACCACGTATATCTTAACATTACCGAATTAAGCGATGGGTTCTGAGGCCTTATCCAAACTCAGTCATCCAAACTAGTTTATTTTTTTCTCCAGTTAATTATCTTTTAATCTTTAAATATACTAAAAGTTGTTGTTTTTTGTTTTTATAAGCCAAAACTATACTAAGTATAGTAATTATATGTTTTCCCCCTCCTCTCTTCTTTGCTAAATAATTCTGAGCAGGGTAATCAGTGAACAAAGTGTTGAAAATTGTTCCTTGAAGGTAATTTTCATAGATGTTTGCATTAGCTCCGTAGCAAAATGGAATGGTACGTGACTTTTAGAGTAGCTGATGCTTTTATTTTGTTTAATAATTTTACCAGAAACACAGAGTATGGTGTATATTATCAAAACTTTCTTCGATAACATGTATTTTAAGTGTCTTGTAATCTTCTCCCTCCCCTCCAAAAAAATCAGGAATCTCTTTAGCAAACATTGGGGTTCTATTTGATAGAATTGCATTTAATCACTGTGAAAGGACTGGTCAGCCTGCGTTAGGATGACAATAGGGGACCTTAAGAGTTGCTGCTATACTGAAACGGTATGGATTATCATGGTGTTGGAATTTCCATAGTAATGCAGATCCAGTTTTTTCGTGGTACCTGCAGTATGCAGAATGGTTTGACTTCAGTGAGCATATTAGTAGTATCTGGATGTTCCAATTTAGATCTAAACCATATTTATTACAAAAAGATATTCTCCCCCTACTCCCAGGTTCCCTTTCTATGTTCCAATGTAATGGCTTGGGGAGGGGAAAAGACACCCGGGGAGGGGGTGCTTCCTGTGGTGCTGTTTCATGAGTGGATTTCAGTAAATTAAATTCCACAGCTAAATCAATAAATAATGGTACATTGAAGTGTTCTGATTTTAATAATACAACACATTTCACATTTATCCACACAGTAACAATGTAATATGTTAATGTAAATAAAATTGCTTTTGATATTCAGAAATAACAAGAATTTAATTTTTTTAATTGGTTTACAGTCTGGGAAAAGTAAGAACCATTTGCCAAAATAAAAGGAAAAAACTTTAGTATTAATAGTTATTTTGATGTAGAATTGTTGGAAAATATTGAAGACAGGTGCAATTAACTAAACTTTTGTTTTTAACTATTGTAGAGGCTGCATTAGGGTAGAATGTTCATAGTAACAGAGCAGCTAGGACTCTAAAGACGCTGAGACAAGAATTGAGTTTAGAAACAGATCCTTAATATCCCGATGCCAAGCTGCTGTTAGGTCTTGGTTCTCCCGCAACCCAGTGCTTCTGGGAAGGTGTCGCAACTTCTTGGATCCTGGAATAAAAGGCAGATGTGAGCCTTTAATCATTGTGGTTCCATGTTTTTCCTCTTTGTTGGTTGGTTTGGTGCATGTTGGTGGGGGTTGTTATGCTATTTTGCTTCTCCCATCAAAATAGAGAAACTGCCAAAGGTTTTCTGTTAAAAAATAGTGATGTTTCCATAACAAGTTTTCCAAGGTATGCTATTTCTTAAATTTATTCATTATTTCCCTCCAGTGTAATGAATGGAATGAATTCACTTGAAGTACCTCATGAAATGATCAGCGTTGCACAAATCAAAATTGAGCCTTCTTTGAACTGCAAAAACACTTTTGACCAGTACATCCTGGAAATTTGAAAACCTACTAAGGTTTAAAATTTACCTTGTTTAGAGAACTTCCGACTTTTGAGGAAAATCTAGCTTTCCAGGTAACTAAAGTGAACATGAGCTAAGTCTCACCAGTATGCTTCCCCTGAGAAATGAAACACTTAGGCCTCATACGATGATCTGCACGAGAAATCTGAAGTTCAGAGCAGGTTTCCCATATTGCGTAATCCAATGTAAGTTCTATACAGGACATTAGAAGTCATTTGTTTGGGGTTTGTGGATGTTTCCCCCTGATTTTTCTAAAGAGGCAAACATAAACTCATCACGTTTTCATTGTACATAACCCACCTGTTTTATCACTGCTCTAGTCTCAGGGGTGGGCCCTTGTTTGCCAACACTGAGAATACGGTTCACTGGCTTTGGGGAAAAGTGGTGAGGCTCTGTCCTTCATCCACTCAACTAACATGTTCATTACTAAATGCCAGCCCTGTGCCGGTCCTGAGCCCGGCTCTGAGGACGCCACCCTGAGCGGTCAGCTGCCACCCCCACAGGATGGAAGCTGGCAGCCTTCCCTCCTACTTAGTGGGTTTTAGGGTTTTTCAGTTTGTTTGGCCTTTGTTTGTTTTCTTGTTTTGTTTTACACCCCTCCCAACCTTCCAGGCATAATGAGGCATGTCTTATTCAATGTTATGCAATGGACTTATACAAAAATTCACTCTTCATGTCAGCCACACAATTTTTTTTAAAGCAGTATATTCACCTGTAAATAGTTTGTGTAAAATTTGACAGAAAAGTATATTTACTACACTGTAAATACATGTGATGATATATTGTATTATTTTGCTTTTTTGTAAAGCAGTTAGTTGCTGTACATGGATAACAAAAATTTGATTATTCTCGTGTTAGTATTGTTAACTTCTTCCTGCGACTGCGTCCCATCATTTAAAGAAAATGCTGTGTATTGTAAACTTACATTTGTATATGGTAACTTCCTCTCCTTTCCATCTGGGCCTAGACTCTGGCAGTTCCCTCGTCTACAACCTTGTTAATATTGTATGCCAGCAGGAGAGATACTGCCCAACAGTCAGAACCGATCATTGTAGGGGAAAATTGTAGAACTCCATCTCAGATCACTGTTGTTCCCCACCCCATCTTCCTCCCTGTGTATGTACTCCACCCCCCCCCCTTTTTTAAGTAAAATGTAAATTCAATCTGCTCTAAGATGTGGGGAGTTGTTTAATTTCTTCACATGCCTCAGCTCTGTTTTCACCTTCCCCCTCCCCACCACTCTTCCTGATCTTTTGAAACCTCAAGCCCATTTCCTTTCTTTTAAGGATGCCTTGGGTTCTCCTCCCTCCCCCAGCCCGTCCATGGGAAAGACCTTTCTATTTCCAGAGACTCTCTAAACTAAAAGTAAAATAATCTTGGTGAAATGTGTAGGGGAGGAAAGAGTTTTCCTCGAGCCTCTTCGGGTCCCTGGCTGGGTCTGAAAATCAAACTGACAAGGGACAGCCCAACAGAAGAGAAGCACACAGCCCAGATGCATTCTGTTTTCATACAAGTTTACGTGACACAGGAGCCTTCCTCAGAAAATGAAGACCTGGAGAAACCGTTAACCCTGAGTGTTTCTGTGCTAGGTCTGATGAAGAGATGGGCGGTCGTGGAGGAACGTAATAGGTCGGAGAGGATGAGGTAAGTGTAGTTAACCGGGGGGAAGCTTAGCAAGGCCCGCGTGTTGCCATTGTCTTATCTTTGGAGATAAGGACGCTTCTCTTTTCTGGGCACAGGGAGGATGCCTCTCACAGGAGGGTTTTCTGTCCGGTTTTCAGGGCAGGGACAAGGTTAGTGCATGCCTCCACTATTTTCTCGGACTCCTTCAGCTTAAAATCTTCAATATGCCAAGGTGCCATATTTTGGGGTTGCATGTCCTGAACCCATCATCAAATGCTTTTTCACAACCTGCCAAGCTGAGGGGTGACTTTGTTCTCTGGGATAAGCTGTCTTGACTTCTTTTAACATGAGCACTTAGAAATGCCAGGACACCCCGAGATTGAGCAGTCAGAGGGCCTTATGTTAGCACCCCACAGTTCAACTTTTCAGCTCTCCCTTAACAGACTCTGTCATGACACTACACATGTAAACACTGGAAAACACTTTCTCTGGCTCAGCTTCCATAAGCTTTACTATTTTATTTACCCCATTATGTGGGCTACTCCCAGATGGAGAAAGAATCCAGCCTAAACCCTGTAGCCCGGACAGAGCTGGGCCTTAGGAGGATAACGGTGTCTGGCATTAAATAAAAGACTATAAAACACCATGAAACCGATTCGTGCTGGTCCGTTTACGGCAAGACTGAGAAAGCAGGTGTACCTCACCTGAAGAGCTTGCTGATACTTCTTGGGCCCATCCCAAACTTCTGAGGCAGAGCCAGACTCTGGGATGGGGTCCTGGGAGGGACAGACAAGGTTTAAAGCCTCTGGGTGCCCAGGCATAATGCAGTTAGCTGTCTTCTTCCTGGGGCCTAACGCATGGTAGCCAAAACTAGGGATGCCTTTGGGGTAATAACCCTGTGGACCGCACCTCTCCATCCCTTGACAATAAGCTCCTTGAGGACATGGACCATATTATTTATCTTTTGTGGGGCCCCATGTCCATTTTTCTTTGCACAGACTTTTGCTTTCTGGGACACCCTCAGGGACTTGAGAAATAACCCAGAAGTGTGTCCAGGCGGAGTTCCGTCTAGTGAGCAGTTGAAAATAAGGTGATGGAGAAGGTAGCTGAGGCTGGGGATGACCTGGCCCAGGGAGCACAGGGAGCAGAACAACATCGAGGCAGAAAGCACACCAGAAAAGAGATCCACTCATTCTGTTCTTTATTTTCCTCCATTCTTTTGTCCCACTTTGGGCAATGCACCCTAATTTTCTACATTTTAACTCCATAAAAACATGCCTTAGCCCCAGAACAGCAAAACTAGGGGTACTCTGTATCTTTGAGTCTGGCGCAAAGTCTAAGTAAACTGAGAAATTGACGGCAAGGGATGCTCTCTTTTTTTTCCCTAAAGATTTTATTTATTTGTCAGAGAGACATGGCGAGAGAGGGAACACAAGCAGAGGGAGTGGGAGAGGGAGAAGCAGGCTTCCCGCTGAGCAGGGAGCCCGATGTGGGGCTCGATCCCAGGACCCTGGGATCATGACCTGAGCTAAAGGCAGACACTTAACAACTGAGCCACCCAGGTGTCCCAAGGGATGCTGTCTTAACAATTTAGTAATCTGTGGATGGAAGGCAGAGAGGAATGAGGTGATCTATGCTTTAAGCAAAAACCCCAGTACCACCCCGCATACTTATTTCTAGGATTCTACAGGAGACAAAAACCAAAAAAAGTTTTTTTCATTAATAAAATAGTCAATTTCTGAGTTGGCAGCATTCATTCATTCATGGAGGAAGCATTTATTGGACCCCTTGTTTTCACAAAAGAACTCCAGCATAAGCACCTCCTGGAAATAGCTCTGTTCAGGCACTTCTTTTTCTTGGTTCTATAACAGCTTCTCATGAACAGTGTTGTGATCAAGCATTGCTACTCCCCGGGCTAGACTCTGAGCCTCCAGCTACAGGGGTCGTGCTTGCTCAAGGTACTCAGCAGAGGGTTGCTGAATAACACTTAAGGCTCTCCATTATCAGGGAACTATAGAAATAGATATAATAGAAAAAAGGACCCCATTCACAGTAGCAATCCCAATGCAAAAGTCCCTACCAAAATGGAGAGGACCTATGTCTATGTAATAAAGGCCTATTAAAAACTATAATCCAGGTTTTCAGATTTCACATTATCAATGAAATTTCCAAAATGTATTTTGTCAACTCATGTGTTTAGAAAAAAGTAAAAAAAATTTAAAAAGTCTTTTTATAATGGAAAAGCAATTTCAATCCCAAAAGGGTAGGGAGAGGGGGAATTCTTTTAGAGGAATTAATTTTGCTTTATACAAAAGTCACTGTGTTGTCCTCATTCTCCTTCCTCTGTTGTGGATTCAGTCCACCACAACACTGCTCAGCAGGCTGACGTGTGAGGGGCCGGCCTGAAGAGCTGAGGAAATGGAAAGACAAACCACAGACCTGGGTGGGGAAACTGAATATTATAGAGTTCCAGGTCTTCCCAAATTACTGATTTAATGCACTTCCAATCAAGATCCTAACAAATGTCCTAGGGTACCTCTTGGAGAGTAAACAAGCATGGCTAAGGGGAAAAAAAAAGTGTAGTTGGAAACTTAGATATAGAAATTTTTAAGTATTTAAGACTGATAATACAATTAAACTAAATAGAGTGGAACAAGCAAAAAGGTCCTAATTGTACTATAGTTAAAAAAAAAAAAAAAGCCCCAGTAACCCCCAAATCTCATTGACATAAAAGCCACAAAAACTCATTTCCCAACTTGCTACATGTCCACCACTGGTCGGTAGGGGGCGATGCTCGCCCAATTTCTAGAGCTCCAGAGTGCCTAGGTGCCCGCAGCAAAGGACTGGTCAGACAGCAGAGGGAGAGCTCAGGCAGCCCGGCCCAGTATCTCCCTGGGATGATGGAAATGTTCCATTATACATACTGTCCAATATGGTGGCCACAGCCACACGTGGCTGTCGAACACATGAAATGTGGCTATTGAGACTGAGGAACTCACTTTATTAAATGTAAACAGTTACAAGTGGCTACCGGCTTGGACAGCCCAGCATCTGAAGGGTCTTGCATTAGTAATTACAGGCCCAAGGGCAGACGTGCCAGCACGTCTGCTCAAAGTCACTGCTAGAACTTGGCACACTGCTCCACAAAATAAATCACAAGGATCAGAAAAAGCTATTCTTCACTGTCCAGAAGGACAGCTAGAAATGTCAGCCACGAACATCAATAACTCACAATAGGGAAGGACGGTGTAAGCCTAAAAGCAGTGGAAGAAATCCTAAAGGTTATGCTTAAAATGTCCTCAGGTCCAAAGAACTCACACCCGAAATTTAAAGGCCAACAAACTAAGAAATTGCTCTCATTAGAAAGAGTTCGTTAAAATCAACTTTGAGAAAAGGCCCACAAAGGGGGAAAAATGGGCAAAGGACATGAATGGCTAATCCACAGAAAGGAAATACTGTACTAATTGCTAATTACTATACGATGAAAAAGTTCATACCCAGTCAGCAAAAGAATGCCAATAGAAACAGTGAAATATCATTTTCATCTGCCAAATTAGCAAAGACATCTAACTAATACTTGGTGCCGGTCAGGAGAGAAGTGTGGACTTGACATCACCTTTCTGTACCACTAGCCTTAAAAACATCCACACTGTTTGCCCCAGTCATACTGTATCTGGGAATCTAGCCTGGAGAAATAAGTAATCAGAGTGCTAAGACTTCCATCAAAGTATTATTTATAATATCAAAACACCTGGAGAAAACCACAATGTTGGCTCAGTTATCTACATTCATCCAGCACTTTCTGGAAGCTGACAGGGCCTCCTTATGCAGCCTTTTAAAGTGGGTTTAAAGGGGGCACTTGGGTGGCTCAGTCGGCTGAGGCTCCAACCCTTGATTTTGGCTCCAGTCATGAACTTGGGGTCCTGGGATTGAGCCCCCTCCATTCTCAGTGGGGAGTCTGCTTGAGTATTCTCTCCTCTGCCCCTCCCCCTGCTCATGCTCCCTCTCTCTCTCAAATCTTTTTTTTTTTAAATGGGTTTAAAGAATATTTAAATTTGGGGATGCCTGGGTGACTCAGTTAAGCGTCTGCCTTCGGCTCAGGTCATGATCCCAGGGCCCTGGAATCGAGTCCCGCATCGGGCTTCTTGCTCAGCAGGGAGTCTGCTTCTCCCTCTCCCTCTCCCCCTGCTTGTGCTCTCGCTCGCTCTCTCAAATAAATTTTAAAAATATACTAAAAAGAATATTTAAATTTGAAGGAAAACTTCCAATAGAGTCAAGAGCTTAAAAACCGTGTATGAGAGTTGATCCCAAATTATGTTTATATATGTGTACATATATATTGATAGAGTTTATACATAGATGTCTAGAAGACAAAAGCTGCTTCTAAGGAGTGATCTTACCTCCCTTGAACAGCAGGGAGCGCAGGAGAATCGGGCCTCTCCCCAGGGAGGCAGATTGATGGAGCTGCGGAGTCCTCTCTGCAGCTTTGCTGTTTGCTCCTTGGGCTGCCCTTGCTGGAGGCCAGGCTCCCTGGTGGAGCCCCCTCTAAA